TGTTTCGAACAACTTGACAAGTTCAACGTGCGTAATCCATAAAAGGCTCAGTGATCCCCGTAAAGCAATTGACGAAAACTGATAGATATTTTGTGACACCAACTTTAAGCTCTTATCTGTCAAGAGGTCCGCAAATAACCCTGACCAGTGTTTGACAAGTTTGTTTTGCTCTCCACGATGAAACCGGTAACCCGTGAGCAATGAACGGGTTGCGCGAACAGACAAGCGACAAATGTCATTTGATAATAGTGGTGAGAAAAAAACGACCGTCTGGTAGGACTGTCACTACAGACATTCTCATCGCGCCGTCGCCAATTTCATTGGCAATTAGTGAATTTCGTTGCCACATGAATTTTAAACCCCATTAACAATCACCAGCATAATTAAATCGAAGATTGATTACTTCTGTTTAGTGGTAGGTAGTTGGGACTTTTCGGTGATAACCTGATTTTTCAAGTATACTACTCTTTTTTAAGGATTTGATTGCATTGATTTTCTGGTAAGATGTACTCAGGTATGTCGAATCTCCATCTTCACTAATTTTGTATGTGTACAAAGAGGTTTATCAACGGGTCATGGTGAACCAACTTTGTGTTAGAAGAAAACGGAGCGGCGATGCCATGTTACAGACGCCGCGACATCGGGAGATTTCAGATGAGAGCGCGCCCGCCAGCCATAGCCACTTTACTCTCTGGGCCGTCAGATCGATTTAAAAAAAAAAAGCTACTTGATCAGCTTCCACACACTCTTCTCAAAGCTGGAAATCTGCCAATTACTTGTTTCTTTGACCTTCGAAGGGCCAATTTGAGGGCAGTGAAATGTTTGTCACGCTGTGGTACTTTTTGGGTAAATAGCTATCTAATTAAATTTTTGTCAATAACCATAATTCATTAACAGGGGAAAGTTCTGGTGTTCAAGTAGAACACGCAGTTGGTGGAAAATCGGGGATTTAGCCGTAAGAAGGGCGAACCCGATTGATGGATATCAAAGAGTTTTTGGTAGTCTTATGATTATTGAGTTGCGCTCAACACGACGGGATTTTCATCCGAGGGGAGGTTATGTACCACTGGTGTAACGGTGATACTACTGATGAGGGAGGCATGCGACTAGTATGTTTTCTTCTGGTAAATTCGCCTTGCGTCTCTTGAAAAGGGAGATCTATTGCGGAATTTGTGGAGCCGCTTTGTAGCATTCGCTTGCATCTGAGTAACAGTCAATGAATATCCAGGAAAGTTCAGGAAGACGCGTTCGAGGACGAGATGGATATTCAGTTTTTGTAAACAAGATACATATGAGAGTTTTGCTTCTCTGTCCAATAGTCTGTAACTGGCATTTTCTAATAAACAAGGCCTTCTTCCTTTCACTGGTATCCGGAGTGTCACATGACTTATGGTTAGGCGTATCTGGTGAGCTCCTTTAAAGACTGACGATCTAAACTCCGATGGCATACTTTGTTGGAACGGGTTTGAACAACTCAAATTAACAGTTAATTTGTCGTTTATTTTCACGTCGGGCAAATGACCGACCTTTATTTTAAGTAGCTGAATTTGACGTTTTCCCGCGGTTTTCCAATGTTCATCTATGGTATTGTTTTCAGAAAATACTTTAGAATTTTCTCCAGAGTGGGCAAATCAGACCTTGATGTTTGCATATGTCGTGATACAGTACACACCACACCATATAATCATGTCCATAAAAGGATACCCCACTTCAATATCTTGAAGTACAATAGCATTTTCCTGGGAGGCTCTGAGGAATTTCGCTGTTCTTCTGAAAGCAAACACCTCCGACCGAAAAAATCAATTCCACGTCCAGCTCAGTTAAACCAAGATATTCCCTGGGACTCCGGAGAAAACCACCGAAGAAACGGGCTCCATAATAGCTGATGCGAATTTTATCGAAGAAGGTGACAACATGGATCTCGCCCTCCCCTTTCAAGAAAAAGTTGGATGTGATGAAGTTTTGGAAAAAAGTATGTGTGATACAGGATAACCCAGGAAGTCGTGGATGAATCGGACGACGCAGATGACACGGACGGTTACACACAAATTGTGATACAAAGTGTACAACCTCTTCCACTCCCCCCCCCCAAGTTAATTCAGTCATTTAGAAGGAACGGTTGATTTAATCATTCAAGCTGTCCTCTCAACGCAGAAGCTGGAACCTACAAACTATCTGAACCAGCTGTGTCATAAAGCGGAATACTTGGAAGGTTTAAGGTCCTTGCACAATCTGTACGAATATATGCGACAGCTTATTTTAATCAATAAACACAGTTTCTATGAGACGTTATTTGTTGAAGATGTGTACTAGGCATACTTGAGTACAATCCTGCTGGAAGGACAAAACACCGGGACATTTTACGGAATAAGGCGACTTTCAGAGACATGATTCCTTTACGCAATACAGAGCTTATCAGCAACACTCACCAGACTTACCGCGTTCCGGGAGTGTTATCTTTCTCCTCTATGCTTGTTTGGTGAACACACTTTATCTCAGCTGAAAATATTTGTTCCACTCAATAAACTGAAGATAATCCGTGCGCTCCAAGACGCTGAGTTATTTAGGTGTCGGTTGTTTGCCCGTCTAAGGTCACCTGACATTGACCTTGCTCATCGACGGGAGCTCTCCCTGTTTGTGAAGGAATTCTGTAATATCTCGATTCAAACTGAACAGAAGGAAAGTTTTACCTTTCTCAGCATTGGGCATTGAGAGTTCTGAGTCTTGCTTGTGCTGGCACTTACCGGGCCTCGAAGAGTATTCGACATTGTTTGTCCTTTCTTCGGTTGTTGGTCTTTAGACGCGTGTTTCCATACCAGTCTTTTTTTACATAAGTTGGGATTCATCTCATCTGACGGGAACTGTTGGTGGCATGAATCCGAATAAGACGTTTCTCTCTATTCTATCAGATTCTCCTGTTAGTTTCTCGCATTCGTTGCTTGCATTCACTTTTTGTGTCTTTGACCGTGTTCTTCGAAAATAAATGACAATAGTAGTAATGATCTTTGAGCCTTAACACCCTTTCGACTCCCAGATACTATGCCAGACTAAGAAAGCATGAGGACTGGGATACCGCCATATTGTCCAAGCCTAGACAGGTGCAATCGGAATGCAGAGGTAGGCGCCAAACCATCAACCTTCTACTGAGTAAGTTCGCGCTCTAACCACTGAGCTACCTCGAAGTCACTTCGACTAAAAATACGGTATGTCGGAAGCATACCTCAGTACGCATTCAAGCAACCTATAGAAAAATTTGCTCCGTACAGATGGACTAATATTATGGTTCGAGTCCTTTTCCAGCGTCCGCAGTTTCTGTGATCAGTTTAAAGCCACATACACACGTTCTGTATCGGCATCATATTCCACGAAAGATTTTCTCTAGAAGTCAGTGAAATATAGTGTTGGAGGAAAGCATGCACTCACTACTGAGTCTTGTCGAACAAGATGGCGTCTGGAAACCTGAAAATGGAGACAAACATATTACTGCTTTCTCGCTTGGGGATGTCCTTGAAGAACGTCCTCAACAGTCCATTGGTCAATAGTGTTCCTTGACAATGTGTTCAACGCTTTTCCGATGCTTTCGTCCGTATGTCCGTTGTCCTACAACCCGCACCCAGCTCAAGCCTGAACATGTCTGTTAGTTTGGTCAAAATAAATCCTTTGCTCGCAGACTGCACTGGATGAATAATTTATAGTGTTTTTCGGCTGATGAAAGGCAACCGCACCAATGACCGCCCTTTAATCGATGGTGGTTTGTTCAACAAATACAGCCAACTTTGCGTGTTCAAACAGCTCTTATCGTCTACAAGATGATCCACTAAAATCTCTGACAAATCTTTTAAATGTGGTCCGAGTTCCGTTTCATGTCGCAAAGGAAACCTTGCACTGATAATTGGTTTTTATAGACCATAGAAGCAGGTCTATTCTTAAACTATTTGAGGCTTTCGGGCTTTACACTTTGAAATTATGGCGGTAAAATGAAACTATCGGAGAAGTGATACATCAGCCTCCGGTATATTTCTTTAAAGTTGTTTTTTAAAATGAAGATCACCCTTTAAGGAAACTTTTGCAGAGCGCGTTCACAGGATGCAGGTCGATTCTAGGAATTTACCTATTGCTGTAGACTTAAAAAGTGACTGCGTTATTGGTCGAGCAGATGTAACGCTACATATCAAGACGTACCTACTGTGGGGTATTGATCGAATTTTATATTACAAAGTGAACAAAAGCCTCAGATGTCTTATTAACGTATTTCAACAATGTTCCGAGCATACTGAAGGAGGTGGATGCATCCATTCACATAGTCCGTGATATGGAGAAGCACCCAGCTGATCCTTCCTTGGTGTCCGATTCTTTCGACTGGCTTCCGCGCATAGAGCAGAAGACTGATTCCCAAAAGAATTTTCCGTGGTTCAGTCTCCATCGAAGGTAGGGTCGACCATCGCAATATCCCTGTGGCATGAAGTCAAAAACTAATGGATTCCATCAGTTTGTATAGTGGACTTAATATACGGAGACTGCTATCCGACATGAAACCCCGTATTGGTGAAGTTTTGAGAGGTTCATTTGTCGTACACCTTCAGGTATGCCAGGCAGTTCGAGTTAAGCTACAAGGGCTAGTTCCTTCAGGGGAGGTCCCGAACATAGCTGGTTAAATCCATACTGTGTACAGAAAACGAATGGATTGGTACAATTCTACACGCTACTGCCCGACTTCACACTGACCGACTGGTCAGTGTATTCGCTAGTGGTTCGTCTTGCGAATCGCCAGTAAGCAATCGTTTTCAAAGCCATGACAGGATGCAACATTCCGACAGATGTACACCTGTTGATCAATCGATCGGTTTCCACAAATGCTTGAGAACCCTTTAAATATCTTACTGTTTGTTGATCTTAAGTGAATCCACACAACTTTGTCCGGAAACAACTCGAACGAAGTGTTAACAAGCGTTGGCCAAAAACAAATCGTACACGTCCGCTGGTTCAGCTGCTGTACTCACCCGTGTCTGGAACGTCAGTTGGCCTGATTATTTGACGAATTTGGTCCATATTTTGAAGATCGGGAGAAAGGCCTTTCGATAAAAAGAACGGCAAGAGGAGGGATTCACCGTGGAGCATATCAGAAATACATTTTATATTACTCACATTGTTTTTTTTTCGATCAAAGGTATAACTTTTCATCCAGATAACTTATAGAAATTCATGATTTGTAATGGGAGACGCCACAAAATTGTCTGGTGTACGGAAGCAAGTAACAAAGGTACTTACGCTGAAGTGCTATTCCATCACTGTTTAAGTTTGCGGTACAATTTCTTGCTCACAATTTGACAGATCGCAATAAATGCGGGGACCATATTGTTCACAAAATGTTTTTTTTCAGTTTCTACTAGCTACACAACCAAAATAGGTGTGCACCGAGAGTGGCTTTGTAAACCTCATAATCATGCGGGCACTGAGGCTACGAATGGAGTAGTTTGGCTAAGTCATCTGGGAACCTTAGTGGGTTTAGCTCCTCCAACTATCTCCGAATTCGCGCATTTGGGGATTTAAAAATCACTTTTTTCGTAGAGACATGAAAGACTTCGTGAAGCGAACGTCAACTGGTTTTGTTTGTTTTGTGTTTATACTAGCATGGTCACTCATTCCTCTACGGCGAAGTATATAATTTTTTTCCGTAAAAGAAACCGCGCACTTGCTTGCTAAAGACTCTCCGGTAGCCTAAAAACCGGTTTTGCTCTATTTTGGGCTGACCAGGGCTTTAGGTTTCCTTCGGTCTTATGTTTCACTTGAACCCAAACTGTACGAAATTCAACAACTGTACTCATATGCCTATCAACTTGGTTTTGATGGGAGACGCAACTCACTGTTTCGTTCAGTCGTTATTTAACGCGGGGTTCCCAACATCCCTAGATCATCTTGGGACTCAAGCAAATGTAGGTTTGTGATCATACAGAGGACAGTTCTGCCAAATGGACCTAAGCGTCTGTTAGCAGGTTTTTTGAGGAGCACAACACAAATCAACTATTTAGGGAAATTGCATCAGACGTAGGTCACGTAGTTGATGCGTCACCAAGCTATCTGTCTGCTCTCGATAGAACATGCTAAGAAGCAACTTGTTTGCCTGATGTTTGCACAGCCTTCTGACACTCACAGGCATACATATTCAGGGAGGATTATGTGTCTACTTATCATGCCCGCATTTTTGATCAAACTGTTGCCAGTAATTGAGCTGATGGTAACATGTGTGTCATCATCTGATGGGCATTAGTCTGTTCAGCAAATTCGGTTGCGTTCTGGCCCTGTGACACTGTAAGCAGTGGTCCAGAGTAGACATTAAACAGGCTGGTTAGAGCCGTATCCAAGGCAAGACGTTAATTTATTTCGAAAACAACGAATTTCCGGCGTAAATGAATAGTAAGCCCAATCAGTTTCCCCAGTGTTATTCTGAGAAGTACAGGCGGACCACGGTCCTGAAACGCGGGGTCATGTGTGCCCATTAGTCGATTTGCACACAGCTCGTGCTTTAGGTGGTTCATATTTAGCCAAGTAACCCTCTCTTCAATAATGATACCTAGTAATCTTCAAAAAATTTCGAATTAATCTCGATCCAGTTGGGAGTTACTGCTTTGAAAGAATGACTGTTTGATGTTTTTAATTCAAAACGACTCTCAAGACTGCTCTCAACGCGTATAGTGGAAAGTGATTAGCTTGTTTTTACGAAGCAGTACTCTGCTCAATCCGGAATGAAAAGGTTATGTGTACTGTGAATTCGGACCTTGATTGTTTTTGTGCAGCGGTTGTCCAGACGAAAATGACCAAAACGTTTTGGTTCGCGGGCTGAAGGTTTCGGGAAAAACTTATCAGATGGCACCCGAAAATAAATTAACAGTTAAATAAAGGATGGATCCGAGAAATACACTCTTTTGCAAATCAATTTGGTTTTCACGAGAGACTCAACTGAATCTCTGGTATATGATATTCTACAACTGAATGTGCTGCACACAGGCCGCCCCATGATTTAGTTGACACGATATTCGAGATATCACGGTGTATTTTCATAAAGGAAACTAATCACAAGGTTACTGAAAAACCAAATTGATTTGCAAATGAATACATTTCTCGAAAACAGTCCAATTCCCGTTCGAGTAGGACATGAGGTTGGCGGAAAATCGGGCACTGCACCTACCTGATGAACCCCAAGAAGGGCTAAACCGGTCGTGGGCTATCGAAGAGTTTTCAGCAACCTTGTGAGTAGTTTCCTTTAAGAAAGAATGGTTGCTTTTGTAATGAACTACTCGTAAGGTTGCTGAAAACTCCTCGACAGCCCACGACCGGTTTTGCCCTTCTTGGGGCTCATCATGTAGGCGTCTGCAAACATCAAAACCGAGAGATTCAGTTGGGTTCTAGGTGAGTTTCTCGAAGAAACCAAATAAGTTTGCAAATGAGTGTATATTCGCTAAAGGATAGTTTCCTTTACACCCGGCAAATATTGCTAATCCCGCGTTTGGGGACATTTATCTCTGTCGTGCGCCGTACTGTGCATCATCTGGATAGCTACGAAAGATTGTTCATATGCTTTTGGTTTGTTTTGAAAAGAAAGAGCTCAGTAAGCCTAAATCCCATTCAATATGAGATTGTCAGTACTGGATATCCTTAGCTCGGAGGTCTTCTCTTCCATTATGATGAAGGGTATTCAACTCTCTGGAATTTCGTTTCAGTATTTTTTCTCGAGAAAACTAAACTGCCACTAGCCGACCGATATCCGTAGCACCGGGAAACGACCAGGTACCCACTTGGTCTATTCCACAACAGACTTTATCAAAGCCGATGGCAATACGTTAAAGTGCTGTTTAGTTAGCTGACGTTCAAGTGACGAGAAGTTTGATTATCGTCAGGCTCGGCAAGTGGGTTGACCACCGCCTGAGCAACCGGTTGATAACTAAATTTTCTGTGGATCTGATCGTACTTCTTCATATTTCTTCGTGAATAGCTTCACAGCTTGTTTGTTTCACCGTCCATCAGAAAATCGTGGGCTTTCTTTGGAATGTAGGATCTTCTGTTCCAAAATATCCACTACGATGTCATTCTACGCGAGAATATTGCAACGATGAGGTGACCGTATTGGTTTACTTTTCATCGTTTTGAGCGAGACAGCTCATGAGAATTCAGAAAATGTCGATAGTTTCTCACGGTTTGGGTAGTTGCCTGGCAAAAACTCATTTTTACGTTCTCGTTTTTGAAACGGAAGGTAAAAGCGACGGTATGCCACATGGTAGTTTTATTCCAGTCTTTTTGGTTGGTCTTCTTGATTAGATTTACGCTCAGAAAGAAAACAACTGTATGGACGTAACGCACTACTCATACGGTTGCTGAGAGCTCTCCGACAGCCCACGACCAGTCTTGTTCTTGTTGGACCACAGTCCCTCAGTTTTCCCAAACCTACTTTCCACTTCGACTGAAATTGCACGAAATTTGACCAAGACACTGATCTGGCCTAAGTAGTCCATTGCGTAATATGTAATACCGTACAAAATGAAACATGAGGCGGCCCGGTCCTGAACATTCAGTTGAACAGGAATATCACAAGGCAGGGATTCACTTAGATCTCCCTTGAAAACCAAATTGGTATGCAAATGAATGTATTTCGATAAATAAACTGCCTTCTGGATCAGTTATGGTGGAGTGAATGCTGTTGGAGTCGGATTCAGCTGACAAAGCCGAAATGACAAATGAGATCAATATTTGTACCTACTGGTGTCACGTGTGTGTCGTTATCAAGGGTGATAGCTTAATGTGGCTAGGCTACTAATGGACTTGGAAGAGGGGGAAGCCATCGAAGGTAACCGAAGGCTCGGTTAGGTCATGGTAGTCAATTTTCAAACCCAAAGCTATCATGTGAAGGTAGATTAGTTTAGTCAAGTGTGGGTGGAAGGTTATCTAGCTCTGTAGCCAAATAAACGAGCTGAACTAGTAGCTATAAATGCAAACTTATGTCCCTAAATCTCGGATTCCTTTTTTTCAGATTCCAACCACTGGTGACACGTGCTTTATGTTTTAGGCATATTGCAACAATCTTACGAGCTTTCTAGTTATATTCAGCTGAACAGCGGTCGAATGGGCTCTGTGTTAAGTCTAAAAATGGTCACAAAGCGTGGTTCTTCATCATGCATGAAGTCACTTCAATACTCAGTAACGAGAAACTGCCTGGAGTGGTATATCGTCTTTCGGAAGGATGTCCTATACTTAATACGCCACCTTGACTTTTCAAATTACGTGACCTCCACTCCGAAAAAAAACTACACGCAGTCAGCAGTACCTCTGAAAGACGAACGCCTGAAACTTACCACCATGACAGCAGAAGATTTTGTCCCCAACGATCGCCGCAACCGGCAGACAGTTGAAGCAATCTGAGAATATTTTCCATAATTTAATGCTGAATCGACGTTTGCCTGCAAACAAAAGTGCATGATTACACATCCATTAGATGCAGTTGTTTGATGCGGGTATTTTTGACGACATCAATGTGTGACCGATTGGTCGACTAGCCCCCGGCAAACCAGTATGTCTGAATTTAAGGTTAATCTGAGAAAATCACTTGTCTAGCATTTTACTGTGTCACGTACGTGCTGTATAAAATTCCGTTAGTTTTTAGACCAATGCATTAGGAACAAAAGTTTTAAAAATTTCAACTATGGAATTGGAAATTAGTGCCGGGCCAATCTGAATTGTGCTAGTGCCTACCGTGCCTTGAAGAGCGTTCAACATTTTTCGTTTCAGAGCGGTTTGGTAAACAATCGGTGGATTTATTGTTGGGCAACGTTTCACTTTTGACGTAAAAGCTTGGTCAGGCCAAATGAGTAATTAAGTAGGTTGATTGGGTTTGAAGGTAGTCAGGGAACCCATCCGTGAGATGCCTTGTGACTAGTGACGTGATCAGTGCTGGGTGCTCAGTCTGATGTTCCTGTTTGTTGATTAGTGGGGACGACTGAGATTTACGATAGATTGGTTAGGGGGGATTCGTCTTCATGATGAACCCGGATTTTTCGTCCTTGCTTCTTCAGTCTAAGACATCTTAATTGAAAATTCCTCTTGGGGTCGTTCACAGACTTCGTTCACCTGTGTTCGCTCAAAGTTGCCAAGATAAGTGGTTTGTGGTTGGGAGTGAGGGTGGTTAATTGGATCTTACTCTGTTTGGGTTTTGTACTTTAAGACCCAGACCATTTTGCTGATAACTGAAAACTCGTTCGTCTGTTAATTTCACTTATCAAGCTCTTCACACACTGGAGATAATATAACCTTCGAGCATTTCTGTCAGTGATAGGTAAAAAGTCGTCAAAGGCCATGCTAACTTGTACTCTTGTTCCAAGACTTCTGAAATAGCGTCCCTGTTGTCATGCAAAAGAACAAAGTTGTAAAGATTCAGCAGTACTCTACGAGTTGAAGATGTGTAGATCATCACTGAGAGCAAATAAAAACTTCCTAGCTCCATATTCACACAATTGTTTTGGGCATGGGGGTGGGGTGGTTAATTGGACCTAACTCTACTTTGATTGGTGACACGAGGCGGTGTGCAGTTATCAGCGAAAACAGTCAGTCAGTATGTCTGAATTTAAGGTTAATCTGAGAAAATCACTTGTTTAGCATTTTACTGTATCGCGTACGCGCTGTATAAAATTCCGTTAATTTTTAGACCGATGCATTAGAAACAAAACGTTTTAAAAATTTCAACTATGGAACTGATAATTCGGATTATTGGAAATTAGTGCCGGGCGAAAATTGGCCTGTCACGGAGGGAAATGACCGTGAGTCAACCCGGGATTGGCTATTTTCGGGGAATGAGATCAGATTTTGTCCCAGTTTTCGCGAAAAAATCCTTTGAGTTTGTCTCAGCAAGAGATCATGGTTTCTTGCATCATTCTCTGCTATCTAAATCATTAGTGACCATTCACAGGAACGGTTATTTCCACAAAGACTTTTCGAATTACCAACATCATTGTCCTTTAGAATGGATTCTTACAGATGAATAAAAACCACCGAAGTTTTGTTGATTTGGGAGTTCACATCTACAAACATTCTTAGTCCTGCAGCAGTTACAGTCGTAGTTATAGGCAGTCCGATTTTTTTCAAACCTCTAGTCCAAAAGCTAACCATAAATGGTCTCGGTGGTAACATACCTTAAGAAAGAATTTAAACATTCTGAAAAAGCTGCACAAAGGATGAGAGTTCTAGAATTCTCCTCAGAAAAACTTAGGAATTCTGTCCAAGAGCAAATCTTGTACACACTGTCCGGAGATAAATCCTTTCTTCAAAGAATTTACTCGTGAGAATTTGTTTTTTTTTTAATTTTAGGAAAACCTGCTCGTCAACCTCATTTGTGGACAGAAAAAGGGCAGATTACTCGTACATGGAACTAACTTATTCGGAATTCAATCAGCACGATGTGCTTTGATCTTTTACTGAGTTCTTCTGCGTTAGTAGGTTGTCTCGTGGCATGGTGCTGATGAATATTCCCTCGCCATAATCTCAGCCCTACGTGTAGTCGGTTGTGATGTCGACTTTTTGGTCCACCAACCGATGATAATCTCTCATCGAGGGATCTGCTTTCCTCAATCCACCAATGCTGTTATTGAATTGCGGCCCTAAGGTCACAGTCAGTGACTTGTGTTTGCTTGCCATTGTGGGCTCTCTGCGTATTCATGACACTTTTATGCGTGGCACATGGCGTTGAATGTAAATTTTTGCCTTCGAAGAGTTTTCAGCAACCTTGTGAGTAGTTTCCTTATGAAAATATACTGCGATATCTCGAATATCGTGCCAACTGAATCATGAGGCGGCCTGTGTGCAGCACATTCAGCTGGAGGACATCATAAACGAGAGATTCAATTGGGTCTCCCGTGTAAAACGAATTGGTTTGCAAATTAGTGTTTTTCTCGTAATTTTTTGCCATTTAATCTCACACCAGCCCCAGTATGACGGACACTTTGTGCCTGATGTATGAGTCTTGACTGTGCTGGGGTTTACCGCACCTTGAAGAGCATTCAACATGGTTCGTCCTATCTTCGATTGTTGGTCTTTAGACGCGTGTTTCCATACCAGACGTTTTTTACATAAGCTGGGATTCATCTCATCTGACGGGAACTGTTGGTGGCATGAATTCGAAGGAGACATTCCCCCAGTTTTATCTAGTGTTCACCATGCATTCGTCGCTTGCATTCAATTTTTATGCTTGTGACCATGCCCTTCAAAAATAACTGATGATAATATTGCAATGTAATCAGTGATTTATTGACGCTACTTTTACATCCTTGGCTTCTCTGCTTAAGAGTTGAAAACGTGACCGAAGTGACAAAAACTACGTATTTCGCCGTTACTACCGTTGACGAAGTATATCTTCCGATTTACAAGTCATTGAACTTCGAAGAAGATCGAAGGATAAGTAACACATTGATTGAAAACCAAATTTACGGTACCTCTACTAGCATGCTACGTTTGCGACAGAACCCATCAACACCATATCCCTTCAAGGCTATCATCCTTCTACAGTGACAACTTGTGCCGAATATCTGCTATGAACTGTGCGAGATGATTTCTATCATATGACTGCTTCTTCAATCATAATTTTGTGAGCCAAGATAAAGCCGGTACGATTTCCACAGCATTTACTCCCCTAGCATGCTTCACGCACGGTCCAATATCGTCATCACTGTCAGCTGTAATAACGGCGTACTCGCCGTACAGTGGTTGTGGCTGTCACAGTTTCATTCACCGATGATTCGGAGAGGTGGGGTAGGTAGCTGCGCATTAGAGGTGGGAGCTGTAAATTAATGCGTAAATAACAGAACTGTAGTGGACTGCCAAGTGGGGGGATTGGGAAGGGAACTATGCACGGAAGGTTATAGCTTTGATGCATGAAAGCCGTTGAGGGCGGAACTCTACAATAGCTTGATTAGCAGTGTGCGACGGGATGCAAGCAAACTGCCAAGCTCGGCGAACAGATCAACCGCCATCCGATCAGCCACCAGATGACCTCCTTACTTAACACTTTACCACTGTTTTGGTCTCAATAAACACCCGAAGCCGGCTCGAGATAACACTCCGCTTCTTCCACCGCTGACCTTGGAGTTGTATCAAATTTTAACTGGACCATTTGCACAAGCGGTTCTGAAGCCGAGCTTTTCTCTCTTTATTCGGAAATCTGAATCAATGAGTTGTAATACTGCAGCTTTATCTGAAAACCGCGGCCCAACAACAAGCCGGAGTAGACAGAACCTTTTCCAGTCCAAGTTGACTCACCTTCCGAACCCAGTCTGCCACTTCCTTAGACAGTGCAGTGCTAAAACATTAAGCTATGCAGATTCTCAAGCCTTTCTGTTTAATTCTAGTCCGGATTTTCACTGTTTTTTTCTAAGTTGATCAGATGAAAGTTCATTTTTAAAGTTCACGGTTATCGGTTGTATGAAATCAAATTTACAAACGTCATTTTAGATTTTGTGATACAGGATGTATGCACAATATGTTGCTGGCCTAAATAAAGTAAAACTACAATCTAATATGGCGTTTTCTGGGAAATCGTCTCTCTGGAAGATATCAAAGGTAGTAAAAACGAAGAAAACACGGCCAGTTTTCTAAATTATCTGAGGATGTCATCCGCACCGCAAGCATCCATTCCGCTTTCCAAGATGAGCGTCCCGTTACGAGCGCACAGATTTACTGCTCCACTCTAATAAATGCCACTGACATCACATCAAAACACCAAGAGTGATTGCGTAGTTGTGATATATGAATGCTGCGTGACACCCAGAAACATATTTCCCCAAGGAGGTCCCCAACTCAAAGAGGCAAACCTTTTGGTTGCTTGAAGCGGCCCATCGATTGAAATTATTCATACAGATGTACTTTCCTCACGGAACTGAAGTGACTTTGCATTGCTTCCCGTTCTAGATTATCTAGCGCCGATTCTGATGGGCAGTCTGAACTTTTGTGGCCAATCGGCTCATCTCCACATAAGGAACCTTCGATATTGACACCTTTTCTCCCTAAAATCACTCCCAATTTCTTTCCCAGTATCCGATCCAGGATACAATCAAAAATTAAACTATATTGCTTAGCATCAGACGGTTTTCAATGGTGATTCATTAAGCAAAGCCGAGTTGTATAATTCAATAATTCCTGACCAAAGCCTCTATCATGATCGGTATTATGCTCCCATAGAGATATTCAAAAGTTTAAATGTCTTATAATAGTCCACTTAACAAGTTCCAATTAGGACTTCCATAAATGTTTGTTGAGTGACGCTCAGTGTTCAATCCCGCTCCCCAAAACCCACACTATACCAAGGGTGGAGAAAACGGATGTGCTGCAATCTGGCTAGAGAGGTTTTTCAACGTGAATGATTGAAACTACTCAGTCTGCTTACAATACACATGCTCTCAGTTTGATAAATTAATGC